ACCTGCTTCCTGTTACCTGCTACCTGTTACCTGCTACCTGCTACTGGTACTGCAACTGCTGCTGCTGCTGCTACTACTACTCCTGCTGCTGCTGCTGCTGCTGCTGCTGCTACTGCTACAGCTACAGCTACAGCTACAGCTACTGCTACTGCTACTGCTACTGCTACTGCTACTGCTACTGCTACTGCTACTGCTACTGCTACTGCTACTGCTGTTACTACTGCTACCGCTGTTACTACTGCTACTAGTACTAGTACTAGTACTAGTACTACTAATACTACCACCACTACCACCACTACTACTACTACTACTACTACTACTACTACTACCGCCACTACCACCACCGCTACGACGACGACGACGACGACGACGACTACTACTACTACTGCTACTACTGCTACTACTGCTACTGCTACTACCGGCTGGAAGTCTGGTTTTAAGATATGCAGCAACGCCCGGATACGATGCCGGAGCAAGGCGGACCGGTGCGGTGCCAAGTCGGTCCAGCAGCATCAAGCGATTCTCAGAGAATACAGAAGTGGCAGCAGACCTCACTACGATCGTGCAAGAACAAGTCATGATGACTAAGCACCATAAAGTGTGAGACTCTTCGCCGGCAAGGCTGTCAGCAAGTCAGGAGAACTCACCGTATCCATAGTCCTTATCTAGCATCGTGGCCAGCACACTGTGCTCTTCACCAGCATGCGGCTGCGCCTGCGATGCGGAAATTCCTACAGGCTTGAACAGCTGCCTTTGTGGAAATGCTCGAAACTGCGAAGCCGTGCAGGCTCGGTGACCTGCAATGGCTTCCTGGCAGCAGTTCTGACACGGGCAACCTTCGCACATTACTTCCAGCGCATTGCGCCAGCTCTGCCCAGGTGCATGGTCCATGTTCCCGAAAACGTCTTCACAGTGCGAGACTTTGCAGGACATGTATCCCGACTGCTAGGCAGGATTCCGCTGGTGTTGCTCAGGGCAAATGCTCGTGTTCAGAACGATGAGCGAAAAGTAACGATAAAATCGTTTGCTGTTCACGAAACAGAAAATGTGTCGTTTTGAAACAGCTTCGAGAAAGGCTTTTCCACCGAGCCCGCCCAAGTCTTTCCTTCCGATTTCCTTGCTCGGGGACGCGTTTTGGCATGAGCTCCTGTGCAGCCGAGTGAGAATAGCGTTCCAGGCGCCACGTTGTTTTTTTTTCGCCGAGCGTCGACACCAGACATTCGAGCGCTCACCCAGGGGAGGCCAAACTTCCGCGCTGCCCCTCCTGTCCCCCCTCCACTCCATCCGAGGCCTGCCGTTTCTGGTAGTACATAGTAGCCCCATGTAATAAGATGTAGCAAGGATCTCCGACGCCGTCTTCGGGGTTTCTAAACAGATTCGGATTGGGCCATTTTTTGGCGTGTGCCGGTCCATGATGACAGCTGCACGGAACCTGAAATGACATCAGTGCGGTGTGAAATCCTGCTAGATCATGAAGTCCGTCTTGGCCTTCACCGCAACAGCGACCATGTCAGGACATCTCAGAAACACCAGCGCCTCTCCGAACTTGCCCGACCTTCGCTGACTTCGTTTGTGTTAATAGTGATGTGTGTGCATCAAACTAGCAATTCCAGCTAATCCTTCCCACAATCTCTACAAGCCACCAACGCTGACCCAACACGAAGATCAAGTGGTTCGAGATTTTTAAGCTTGAGGCCCGAGGATCACGATTGGTGATTTGACAAGTGACCAAGGAGGACGTGCGAATGCCACTGCGGAGTTCGCGAACTTTGATCGTGCACCCGGCAAGCTCGCCAGCTCGTGTTGTTTTTCTATTGTCGTGACATCAGGCTCTGTCTCATGATCGTTGGGTTTGCAGAGAAGACTTCGATGTGCCATGTCAGCCGGGAGACGTCCATCCGTCCTGAAGGCACATGTCGCAGTGCGAAGCTGAATAGTGACTCGTTGTTACTTAAATAGTAGACCACGTGATACATTAAATGTCTAAAGCACCTCAGAGCCAGTCGGAACCATCTGATGGCATGGATGGTCTTGCAGTCTCAACATGCCTCTCCAGGCATATTGTTTTGTCCACGAGACGCATCTGATTGTACACGTGCCTGTTGACATTGCATGCCTCCAATTGTTAACTGCGCGACCGTACTGTGTCGCAGGCAAAATCGGGTTTCGAAGCCTGTTGTCGTCTGAGACTTTGACGTCGACTGGTCGTTGCAGACCGTACCTAACCCGCCAAACTGCAGTCTGACTACTCCAAGGACTTTGAGCTTCCCTCATTGTGTTACCAGGTCACATGTCTGGGCGGGAGGGTGGGGGGATGCTGGAAATTTCGCGGGGTAGTGATGGGTAGTCCATCTGTAATCCTTCGCATTACAGTGCTCAGACTTGTTTTTCTGTTCACCGATCCTGTGATATCTTATACATTTTTTTGCTGACTCCGGTGAATCTTCAGCGGTTGCATCTGGGCAGAACTGAACCTTCATGGCGGCAATGCAGAGCTTCCGCAGATCTTGCCGGATCCCGTGCTTGTGACGAATCTTTGCAGCTTCTGGACAATGTGTTGTGAGTGCATGCAATGATCCTCAGCGATTTTCAATTTCGAGTGGCAGCGAGACGGGTTTGAATCGGTATGATCTACAGGGCATGCCTAGCTTTACTGCACGAAGCTTGGACTGCAGCCAAGCTCCGGTAGATAAAGCCGTAAGGCCGTAAGGGTCGCTGAGGCTCGATGGCTTCATGGTGCCACATGATGAGGAGGTCCAATCCACAAGTCAATGGAAGTGGCTTGGTTCATCGCTGCCCGGCACATGTTGTTCAGAGGCCACGACTGCTGATTCATGGCATTTCCGATTCACGGTGTGCTTCGCATGCAAAGGATCTCGGGGTTTGCCGCGGGACATTCCTATCAAGAGAAGTCGTGTGCCAATCCTCTGATCACTGTGGGGTGCAGTGTGGTGCTGTCACTTCTTGTTGTACATCTACGCTGAGGGTTCAACTCCCGTCGTGTAAGCCTCCTTCTCCCTTCTGGTGGTGCTCAGGCAAGTGCCGGAGTTGGCAAACGTTGAGAGACGATGGGTAGCATACCCATTGAATTCCTCAGGAAAGACGCACGCATACCAGCCCTATACAGAATCCACGCTCGCAAGGCAAGCGGAATGATGGATGGCAAATCTTGAGCTAGAAGAGAAATATGGGTAGCTAGCGCAGGCTCAGACAGCATGACAGCACACCGACCACTTCACTTCTTGGTGGACACTTAAGAGGAGACCCTTTCCTGCGCAGAACCCGGCAGGTGCGGGAAGTCCTCAGAGACGATGAGGTTGGTTAGTCAGATGATCACAGAGCAGGATTGCGACATCGGCCTGAGCCACTCCTGGCTTGGACAGGTCGTGGACGTGGAGGTGTTGGACTCTGCTGGAGCTGGAGCCCGAGATCCAGGAATCCAGGAGATTCAAAGACATCGGGCCGGAAGTTCAGAGACGTTGTGAGGTGGAGCCTTCTCAGGGCTCACACAAGAGGCACCAAGTCTATTCCTCGAACGCCGAAGCTGTGAGATGCAGCCTCGCATGGCATGCATGCCGTTACCTTAAGGCAGACTTGCCTGGACACGGAGGGAACAAGAGGCATACAGTGAACTAGTTGGGGCTTTGGGCCTTCGCTTCGATCTCGCAGGCTGAAGGGGAGCCCGGCGCCTGCACCCGCGCTGGCCTTGGGCATTGTCGTCGTGTGGAGTGGGCCTGACATGGCAGCCGGAGCTTTTCGAGGTCATGGCTCTAGGCGCGGATCAAGGGAACTTACGAATTCTTCGAGTCATTTCCGAGCAGTGCAGATACGAGAGGATGGCAACCCGATCCCGAGAAGAGCGATGCTGACAAGGTGCGGGAAACCTTGTAAATTATGTAGGATGCACCCCCGCCATGACGCTGTGCCAGAAGAAGGCGGAACGAGCCGCCATCGATCGCCATCGAGTACATGTGCGTTGTGGTTGCTCGCTGCGCTTCATTGTCCTACTCCTTTGGCCGTGTGTGAGCTACACGTTCCGTTGAGACAACTCAAGCCAGTCACGCCTGCACCATGATAGGCTTGCAGAGTCTCTCAATGTCTCTCAGCTCCCAAACCACCTGAAGCCGCACCATTGTGAGCATTCCAAAGGTTGGAGCTTGGGTGCTTGGGCATGACTAACGAAAGTACTCCAAATGAAACTTAGCGGCAGGCTCGAAGCCAACAAGTCGGCGGCATTCGGTGGCATCATGTACTTGATTTTAAGACCGTCATTAAGACCGTCAGACGGAACAGTGATGGAACCTTTTCCACATCACAGAGCTATAGATAGAGCCCCGGCCTGCCATTCTCCATGCCGAGAGGAGACTGAGACCCAGTTTCGTTCGGTGAGCAGTTGTCAGCATCTCCTTGACCAGGCGGTCGAAGCTGCCGCGCCCACAGCCATGGCCAGAGTTATAATGCAAATGATACTCTTCGCTGTTTCGCATCCAGAGCTGCTGCAAGGCGAAGGCCCTTGCGCTCGCAACGTGCACAGATGGTCGCCGACGGCCAGATTGCTTTGACCTCTCGCAGCTTCTCCATCGATGTCCAAAGGGGGTGAGCAAATGTGGGCTCGACAACGTGACGACATGAAGCTGGCAACGACGACGTTACAATGTCAACATGTTTAGGCTTTTGGGGGGTCACGGCCTGGGTGCCTGGCGTCACTGGTGTCACGGCAATGCACGGGAAACGCCGCATCAGCCGAAGTAACATACTGGCTACAAGCATCCCTGAGAGTTTCTCGAACACATGCGATGTGACTTTCTTCGAAGGGGCTGTTGACTGATCCTCCCCTGTGGATATAGAATTCACACCGTCATCTTTATACCACATCTTGGGTTTGGGCCCAGTTTGGGCTGAACACATGGGGCTTATTCCGAAACGACTTCCATTCAATTGAGGGGCAACCCCAATAAATGTGGACGTCACGTAAATGAGTTGTCCATACACCGATCCAAAAAATGGCCCTGGCACGACCATGTTTTCCCTTAGAGTGGGTTTGTAGCGTCTCTCGGGTGTCGGATCCCGGCCGACCGGAAAAAAGTGCCCAACTCACCCAGTCCCATAGCAGTAGTACGAGGAGTAGCAGCAGCCGCATGGATCGACAGCATTATGGGGCATCAGTAGGTCACTCGGAAACACATGGCCCTGGTACGAGAAGTTTTCGAAAGGCGGAGATAGTAGTGGATCCATCGCCGAAAAGTACACGAGAACTCCAGCCTCTGGATTCTAGTCTGGCATTGTGAATGCACTGTCGCAGCTATGTCCACTACAAACAAAATGGTTCCTTACAAGATGAAGGGACGGGTGACGTGAAGTCTGACCATCAGATCCTCACAAATAGGGGCCGGGGGTTGTAAGGTCACAGGACCACCAGATCGTTATGACATGGGGTGGGGAGTAAGGCTCGCACTTGCTCATAAGAACACTGTATAAGGGGGTTAACCCCCGTTTTGTTAGGCCTAGCTGGGGAGTTAATCGGCACATGCCAGGTGCACCGAGCAACGGTTGTGGCAAGGCAGCAGCTCTGGGTTGTCAGGTAGAGCAAGGCACATCAGCGCTCCTGCAAGCGGTGACTGACAGGACGAGGGCCGTGGGATTTTTGTCGGTGGGCTGCCAACCTCGTCACATGCTTATCTGCTTGGACGAGTCAGGTAGTGATCTCTCCGGGCACGTGTTTCCTGTGTAGATTTGTCAGGGTGGACGACAAGGAGTTGCGCAAACACTTTGAGCAGTTCGGCACTGTCCAGGACATCTCGCAGTGTAACGGTGTACGGACAGCTTCATTCGCCAGCAGCGGGCGCCACATGCTCGCAAATGTAAAGAATTTCCAGACGGAAGTAGCAGGATGCCACCGTGGTCATGAATCAAAAGACAGGGAAGCCCAAGGCAGGAGTCGCGGTCTGTCAGACAGATAAAGCTGCCAACGCTGCAGGGCTTCGGCTTCGTGGAGTTCAGGGAGCCGGGTGCGAGAGAAAAGGTATTGAGCCCGGTTGTGACATTGCTTGACGTTGCTCATCGCAGTAAGCTGCACCAAGCGACCAATGAGAGCAATGCCAATCCAATCCCATGCAGTCTTTCCAGCGCGGTGGGTCGGACAATTCAGTTGCCCCGCTCAGGGGATAAAGCTTACAAGATGTGCGAGCTCAATAATTTGTGTACTCGTGACTTGTCTGGGGTGCGAACAATTTCAGCGTCGTTGATGCCCTTTGTGTGCATCTGGCAGCAAGGGTGTGGAAGAGCAGCTGGGGCTGGGGTGAAACGTGGCCGAGGAGGTCCTGGGCAGCGCGACTTGAGGTTTCCGCACAACCCACTCTGCAGGCCGACAGGTTAGTTAGCAGCCAGTTTTCACTTTTGTTTGGATTGGACGTGCAGACATTACCGTCAAACAATCGCCAAAGGGCACAGCGCAGATACGACTTGTGCATAGCACCAAATTTGCAGAACAGGGGTCGCTGCCCCAAAGTCCTTCCCGCCCCAGCCTGCCACAACTCAGACTTGGATCACTGAGGTCCTGAGATCAGGTGCCACGCAGCAAATCCATGGCAAAACCGTCGAGGCAATTCAGTTTGGGGTTGAAAAGATCTGCTCGCATCAGCTGATGTCGGCTTAGTGTGAGCAAGCCACTCTGGAGACTTGACGAGAAAGATGCCGAGAGATTCAAAGACTTTTCAGGAAGGTGTTTCTTGAGGGGCTGTCATAAGCAGTGAAGCATTGAGTCTCTGGGTTAGCTTTTTGAGCGGGTGAGGATGATAGGTCAACCGTATTCATAATTCATCATGTACACTCTTGTGTGGCTTCCCTGTAATCTGTTTGCGGCCGGACAGAGTTTCTCCACCCGGCTCGCCAACCCTATGACCCAGCCGCCCAACCAAATAGTCAACTTCCCAACCGTTACTCATGTCTTTGGATGCGGTGATGAGTCAATCCGCCGAAGGTGAAACTGAGACAAGTCAGAGGAGCCAAAGGGGTCTCAGGACCTGCACTGAGATCGACTTTGCCAAGTGGCTCACCTGTAATGTCTGGTGTCCTGAGTTGCTCAGAACAGGGAGCGGCTCAAGACGCGTGAAGAGAAGAAGCGCAACCCCTGGAACCCCTCCCAAGAGAACTCCTCCCAAGAGGAGCCACATGCATGAAAGCTATATCGCCCAGAATGGACATGGCATTCTAGCATGCGTGAGGAGCATAGTCAGCATAGCATTAGGAAGTCCAGCGTGCCATCGTCAGCGATGCAAGCATGCGCTGCTGGGAGCAGCTGGCTGAGACCCAAGTTGCAGAATAACGAACATTCCATTTGCTTCGGTGGAATTCCCTCAGAGCAGATGATCCTATACTGTATACCAGGGCCACACCCGGGAATGTAGACGGGGGGGTGTACGGCGTACGGCATTTGCGAATACACATTCCCAGGGTCGGGTTGGCGAAATAGGCTTTCGAGGGGGGCCTGATTTAGATTTCTGCCGGCTGTCCCTGAAGTCTGTCTGATACACCAACTAATGTATGACGGATTGGGGCGCGCTTCGCGAAATACATTTCCCGGCCCAGGGAAAATCCGGCGTCTGTAAGGGGAACCAGGGCACCCCGGGCTCGTGCAGTCCTCCCGAAAGGTGGCGGGTAAGGCTGGGAGGCGAAAGAAAGGCGGCCGGCGGCCGGTTCTTCGTTTTTGCTCCATGTTGCGAGGCACAGCTTGCTGGTTCTGGCTTTTTGGGTTGCAGGCTTCAGGGCTTGGGGTTTAGGGCTTTAAGGGTTCTGGGTGTAGGGTTTAGGGTTTCTGGGCTGCGGGCTTCTGGGCTTCCGAAAGCGCGAGAGCAGGAGTGCAGGGCATGTTTTGAGCAGTCGGTGAGCAGTCATGAGCAGTCCATGTTGGGAAATCCCGGGATCAAGGTCCCCCCAAACCCCTGAACATATACATTTCCCCGGGACGCTTAATTAATGTTTATCGGAGGGGTCGCCTGCAAAAGCCATCTGGGGGTTGTATACCGCAACCTGAAGAGCGAACGCACGAGACAGCAGTGTAGTTGCAAGGCGCAGCTGCAGCCTTGCATGCCTCCATTCGGTTGCCTGTGTGAGGCAGCCGAGGCGGCAGCCATTCCCGAGTCAGCCTCTCAGAACAGCCTCGCCTAGCTGCCTAGCTGCTTTTGTCCCTGTGGATTCGCTTCAGGCCACAGGAGTGCAACCACTTTCGGGTGTGCTCGACGTTTCGGCTGGAAGCATGGCAGGAACAGGGTAGCCTGTTTCGTGGCATCTGACTGCTTCTTCCAGAAACTATTCCTGGCATTGCAAGTGTATCGGTTCTGCGGCTCGTTTCCTTACTCGTCTCCTTTGTTTGTCTTGAAATTACCTGGCCTGATACGAAACTGGTGAACCTATGATGGAAATCCTGAGATGCTGTCAATCCCAGACTTGGGTAATCACTCAGCTTCCGTAGATTGAGAGCCTACAGACAACAGATCTGTTTTCTCAATTATTCCGAAGCTTGCTGAAGGTCCCGGAGTCTGTGAGCTCCCCAAATGCCCGTAAGTTCGTAAGCCCCGTAAAGTCTTTAGGTTAGGCAGGAAGCTGGCGCAAGTGAGACTGCAGAGGATGGGCTAGACGGTCGCAGAGAACTTTTGATGCAGTGGTTGCTGAGCTTCTGACAGTGTGGAAGTCCAGTCACTGGCGGGGGCAGGGGCATGGGGAGATGCCGGAAGTAGCAACCTGCTTAGGGGGAAACCCCAACAAGGACTGGCCACACTTTGCAACCAGCTTGCATCGAGCTTGGATCAATAGATCCAGGGTATCGCCCGAACACGACGTGACGCACAGACGTGCAGTTGCGAGAATGCGCATGTGGGCTCCTCCAGAAGGGCAGGGGCCCACAAGGCACGTAAGAAGAAGAGCGAGCGTGCCCACAGAAAAACAAGGACAGCAAGGAGTACCACTGCACTCTGTGGCTCGTAGATAGAAGCCCGTCCAGTCACTTGATGATGATGCTTGCTTTTTGCCGATGCACATCATGCAGGAAATCCGTGGGCTATTCTCTTTGCAATCGCCTCGCCATGCGTTGGGGCGCAAAGGTTTGCTGAGGGCTTTTCCGCACAACTTTCCGTGCACACCGGCTGTGCCGGACTCAGCAAAAAAGGCATGAGCTGCATGGTGAAGTGATTCCAGCGTACGATGAGCAAAGATGCACCAACGTCAGGAAGAAAGCACGGTTGCATCGCAATGTGGGGTTCTGCCTCGTCACTGGGGCCGTCCAAAGTGCAAAAGTGCGCGCTGTAGGGCGTGGTGGAAAGAGATCAGATGCGAAATCTGCCATCAAACTGGCCTTTCGTGGGATGAGCTCAGACACTGTGTACAGCAGACTGCACCGGTGCATCTCTCCGGAGAATCGCTCGAGCATGATGTTCTCTCTAGGCGATTTGTATGGGATCCACAGTGGATTCCGTTCTATGCATCAAAGGTCTAAGGTGAAGAAACAGATGCAATGATCACGAGGTTGTTCGGCATCCACTTGGATCCGACAATCGTGCTCTCGCAAGAGGTCCATGTGTGCTCTATGGTTTTTCAATAGTGATCTCGTCGAGGCGGATCCCTATGCAACGACAACTACCTGCTGTACTCAATCCTGGATGTACGTATGTAGGTATGTATGTATGGATGGATGTTTGGATGTCTGTCTGTCTGTCTGTCTGTCTGTCTCTGTGTGACTTTGTGTCTGTGTGTCTGCGTGTCTGTCTGTCTGTCTGTCTGCCTGCCTGGCTGGCTGGCTGGCTGGCTGGCTGTCTGTCTGCCCATCTGTCTGTCTGTCTGTCTGTCTGCCTGTCTGTCTGTCTGTCTGTGTCTGCGTGTCTATTTCTGTCTGCCTGTTTGTCGTGTGTCGGTATGCATCCAGGCGTTTATGTAAGGATCCATTTGTTGATTCATTTATCTATGCGTGATCGTGTGTGTGTGTCTTATGTTAGGTTATGTGTACATAGGCTGGTACATGCACACATTTATACAAACCTTCATTATGCTCATAAAGTCGGTTTCCAGACTGCGCATCAACCGATCAGCTGATCGGCTCATCGGCTGGTCTGGTTTAGGGTTTAGGGGTTTAGGGTTTAGGGTTGATTAGCTGATCGGCTGATTGGCTCATCGTCTGATCGGTTGCTGCACGGTTTTGTGCTCAAAAGCCATGCGCACTGCAAGCTTTTGCACATGCACAGACACAAACGTTACACAGATATGTGCATAGATACAATCATAGACATATACATGTACATGGGCCAGGTACATACAAGTATGGACGCACAACGCATATACATATCCTCCAATCTAAGCTCTCTCCCGCTAGGCCGCTAGGCACTTCCCGGATTCGCACCGTAGCGACTGACCTGACATGTCCCCAGGAGGGGAAACAAGGTGGGCACGTGAGTCGAACCTGAAGAGCTGGCAACAGTTTCAGACTTATCCCGTCACTGCCTTGGATATGCTGCATTCACAACCTGATGTCTTTCATGTTGAAGTCCGTGTTCTGATGCAGTGCTGTATCTGCAGTCAGCTCGGTTGGGGAGTTCGGGGTGTTGCACAATTACATACATACACACATGCATGCACGCAGACGTACCCTCGCTCGCTCGCTCGCTCGCACGCACGATCGCACGCATTACTCGAGCCAAGTGTCTCTTCGTCCGTTCTGCAAGCTCCGGGGGTTCGTCTTGCCGTGGGGCCACAGCGACTTTTCGAAAGGGCAAAATGACTAGTTAAGTTTCGCGATCGGAGTGGTGCGGCAGGCTGGCGCCAAAAAGCGAAGAGGTAGTTTCGCAAAGCATGCATAGCTTCCGGAAATCAAACATACCATCTGGCTATCACTCCCGAGTTCCCCCTGCTATGAGAAAACTAACCTCGAGATAAACCTGGCAACATTCGCTTGCGTGCTCAGGTATGTAGATGGAACGGCAACTGAAATCCATCGTTCATTGAAAGATGCCATTAAGACGATCTGTGCTTCCTGTTGCCAAGGGTTGATCTTACAGTGCCTACGGCACCCTTATCTCGGGCTTTTAGGGTCGGCCGCGTCTGTATTGCCACAACTGAACTCATCGCATTCCAAGACTTTGCTTCTAGCGGGGTCCAAGGAAGAGATGTCGCCTGACATGGTCGACTCAGAGATCAAGGCCACGCAGGAGCAGAAACATCTGGGAGTCAAACGGTCTCTTGCCAGGTTCCTGCCGAGTGTTCCTCCTCCTTGCTTGCGCATGCGCGGTTGCTGCAGTGAGCATCCGAAGTGGGCACCTTGACTCAAACCCACAAGAGAATGCTATGCCGTGAACTGGATGCTTCTGGCAATGGGCATCAACCTACAGACAGATCGACTCTGCAGGCACTGGACGCACTGAAGGCAAAAGGGTCTGCCCGGCAAGTTTTCAGTAGACCTGAGCCGCGATAGTGCAGTGCGTGCAGACATGCCTAACACTGCAATGAACATTCCACCCGAGATGAGGTATGTTATTCTCAAGTTCAGCAATGAGGCTTCGCCGTTGCCACACTGTGCATTTCCGGAGTCTTTCCACCCGCGGCAGGAGCAGGCCCGCTTGAACGATCTGTACCACTACAGCCGCAAGTTCTTCAGCAATCCTTCTGCGTACAAGGAGCCTCTAGGCCGTTATTCTCCAATTTTTACTGCGTTTCTGTGAGAGGAGGGCTTCAAATGCTTTCCCATTCCTGGCGGCTACATGACTCCATTTCCGGGTACCTACGAGGCCGACCGCTGCCGGAGCTTTGAGAATGATGAAGACTGATCTGGGTTCATGAGCTGGCCTGTGCCAGATTTTCGAGCTCCGTCGAGGGTTGCCAGGTTGTCCTGCGGAGCTTCGTCAGGCCACATGGTTGAGAGAGTCCGCGTCACCCCACTCACAAGCTTGGAGTTCTGCTGCTGCATCATGCGTCGTGCAGTGAAATTACAACAGTGGCCAGGTGCACAAATTATGAACATTTGGCTGAAATGCCTGCTCACCAGCTTTCAAGCTGATCCAACCATTCCTATTAGTGTTTGCTTCCGTATGTCTCTATTCATGTATCGGCTTGTCTCTCTGTGTTTATCCGCGTTTCTCCATTCATGTGTCCGTGACATGCATTTGCAGTCATGTTGTGTGCACCTGCGTGCACACGTACATGTACCAGCACGTCAGTGCGTGTCGCAGTGTAGTGATAGTGTAGTGATAGTGTAGTGCAGTGCATAGTAATATCATGCAATGAACTGAATGCACTCGAATGGTGTAAGGTGAGCTAAGGTCAATCGGTGTAATGAATGTAATGTAATGAAAAGCAATGCAATGTAGGACTTATGCTCGCAAGCATGTATGCACGCATGCACGCGCCCGCCCGATAGGCAGGTAGGTCGGTAGGTAGGTCGGTAGGTAGGTCGGTAGGTAGGTCGGTAGGTAGGTCGGTCGGTAGGTAGGTCGGTAGGTAGGTCGGTAGGTAGGTAGGTAGGTAGGTAGGTAGGTAGGTAGGTAGTAGGGCAGGTAGGTAGGTAGGTAGTAGGGCAGGCAGGTACATGTTCGTGTGTGAGTATGTGTGCATGTATGTCCAAACACGTGCATGTGTGTATGTATGCATGTCTGTCTGTCTGTCTGTCTGCCTGCCTGCCTGCCTGCCTGCCTGTCTGTCTGTCTGTCTGTCTGTCTGTCTGTGTGTCTGTCAGTGTGTGTCTGTCTCTGTGTGTCTATCTGTGTGTGTCTGTCTGTGTGTGTGTCTGTCTGTGTCTGTGTGTGTCTGTCCGTCTGTCTGTCCGTCCGTCCGTCCGTCTGTCTGAACCTCTCTGTCTGTTTGTATGTCTGTCTGTCTATGCATATACGCAAGCATGTGGCATGTATCTGGACGCGGATGCATGTAGCTTCCTGCAAACGCAGGCTCCGTGTGTGAATACATGTAATAATTAGTCCATCTCTCCATGCGCGTCTATGCATGCTGCATGCTGCTGCTGATGCAGCTGCTGCTGATGCTGACCATGGGTGAGAATTGATACCATCGTTTCCTGGCAGTGTTCTTTTTACTTAAAGAGCCGATACATGCGACAGGGTTTTCGGGACAACTTGCAAGTAAGAACTTGGGGTTCAACGGGCAATGCACGCTCCTTGGAACTTCAGCAGCATGGAAATTTATGGGGGCTTTCCCGCTGCCTGTGCGTGGCAGGTGTATTTGTGTTGGCACTCCTTCGGGGTTGCTGACAGTGTTTGCAGTCGTAGTTCGCCATGCAAAGGTTTTCGAGGTACTGAAAGCTTGAGCAATGCTGGCCTTGCCGCAGCCAACCCTATGGCTCTTACCCGAAAAATTTCTCACCGTTAGCGTACTGATCAGGCGGGCATCGCTTGCGGTGCTTGTGACCCAGGCTGAGGTTCCTGTTAGACCAACAACGGGAACTGCAAGTCGGGTCATGCTGCTGCCTCTGGCGCTGCTGGGGGCTCTGCTGCCAGTGGATGCGGTATGCCGAAATGGTTGCTCCGGTCATGGATCCTGTGGTCTGCTCGGGACATGCATCTGTGAAGGCACCTGGGCAGGACGTGACTGTAGCTTCCAGCTTTCAATGGACGTCGAAGTTTCAGACAAAGACTTGGCGACAGAGTCACTGGGCTCGCCCCAAGCGGTTCTCTCGTCCACCGTGGGACGATCCGAAGTGAAACTCGGGGATGTGGTGGTTCAAAACTTTGCACGGTCACGACGAGCGGCAGAAAGTGCGTGGGCAACCGCAGACAAGCGCGGACCCCAGACTGTGTAGGATTCAGATGCCCGTGCCGTCTGACTGCAGAACTGTAGGCTGTTTGCGGCAGCGAAGATGGAGAATGAGCGCGAAGCATCAGAAAGACTTACACGTGCTGTTGGAAAGGCCCGTAGCAAGAAGGAGCTCATGGTTCATGCAGGGTCCGACATGTCGACACGGTCACTGCGGTCGTCCCTGTAGGATGCAATCCCTGGACACGAATTCGGTGGATTGCAGGCTCGGCCGAGCCCCTGTCTGTCACATGCACGGCTGGTGTGTCGATGTGGGGTCTGCAGGCATCGTCTACAGCCTCGATCCCAGACTCTTAGACTGTCCGATCTGACTTTCATGTTGAGCATCGTCGGGCCGGGGAGCCGTGGCAGGCTGCAACTCGGAGCTGTGGCCTGGACTGCAGCAGCCAGGGCATTTGCTTGGCTGGCAAATGTCTTTGCAGACAGGGCTACTATGGACAATCTTGCAACCCGGCTGAAGATGAGGAAGAAAGTTCAGCTCCAAACTTTCTGTGGAAGTGCTCTGCAGGTGAGCATAAGCGGTGCCTCAATGACTGCAGCGGAAACGGACAGTGCCATGTAGGCCTAGCGATGCAGATCAGTTGCGACGATCAAGGATTGCTGCACTCCTCTGTCGATGCAGGCCGATGTCTATGCTCGGACAAGTTCGGTGGAGAGGCGTCTGGAGAACAATTTCGAGACAAGTCCTCGTTTGTCACAAAGCGCTGGTGAGCGTAGACCCTGTAAATCCCAGCACCCTGGAGCCCGACAGTTGTGTTCCGTGTGATGTGCATAGTTCCTTCAGCAGCCATGCTTCAGCTTTCCTGTGAGTGATTGTCGACCGTTGCCACCAGGGGCCCCTTGTGCTAGCAGAAAAGAGGGTTGAGCCCGAACGTCCGCCGTGTGTTGCTCTACATGGTAGCGGAGCCTCGGTGACGGCCAGAGGTTTTAACGTGTTCCTCCTGGGGTCGGTCGGACGCGACCGCGAGCTCAAGCCCCAGGATTTCTTCGACTACCAGATTCTCCGGAAGGAGAAGGGCATCTTTTAACGGTTTTGTGAACACCGAGTCTGACTACCAGTTTTCTTGGTGATTTTGATTTGGCCCGCCGGGCGTGGACTTCCGGGAACTTCCTGGAAGGATGGCTGCAGCCGAGACAATGGCTACGGGAATGCCGAGCACAGCGGCAACGACGGGAAGAGAACCACTGGGATCACGGGGATCTTCTCCTTTGAGGGCACGGTCGCCGAGAGTACCGCCTTACACCAGCTCTGGGCTGGATGGCTCTCAAGACCAGGGGGGAAAGAAGTTTCATGATTATCGTGTGGAGGCGGCGCCCTCGTGGGACGGCGAGAACCCGGAGACCGAGTATCGACAGTATGCTCGGGCCCTGAAACTCTGGTTGATTGAGGCGGAGGCCCGACTTCCTCCCAGCTTGGTCGGGAAGAGAATAATGGATGTGATCCCCTTTGGGTCCAGGTTGGGGGCCCTACTGGCCCAGCTCTCCATCGACGACATTACCTCCGAGACGGGGTACAAGGACATCTTGAAGATCATTGAGGACAGCCACGAGTACCTCCGGGACATGAAATTGGAACAATCCTTTGAGCAGGCGATCTTCAAGGGAAGGAGGAGGCCAGACCAGTCGATATCTGGCTTCCTGGCTTCGAAGAAAGCGGCCTTCAGCGAGCTTCGTCGCCAGGGCCTAGACCTCTTGGAGACGAAGGCAGGGAAGCATCTGCTTGGCCACCTGATCCTGAAGCAGGGGCAGTTCACCGAGGACCAGCGGCAACGGATCAGGGTCCTGACCGACGGCAGCATCGACTTCCAGAAGGTGGAGAGTGCCATCCGGAAACTGTTCAGCGACAGCCTGGAGACCCCTGGGAAAAGTGCCGGCCGCGGCACCTACTGGGGTGAGTGGGCTGGCGAGGGGATGGATGATGCGGAGACCGAGTACCTAGACCAGCCGGAGTATCAGGACTATTTGGCCGAGGCTGTCGGTGACGAGTTGGAAGGGGTCTTTGAGGACCTCCTGGAGCTCGACGATGAGGGTCAGGTCTACATGGTCCTGGACGAGGAAATTCCGCCGATGATGGATGAGGCCGATGCGGTGGAGCTTGCTGGCTCCTACATGTCTTTTGTCTACTATGAGACGGCCGACCGGGTCAAAGGAAAAGGCAAAGGAAAGGGGAAGCACAGTGGCAAGGGCAAGGGCTTCCGCGCAGACAAGGGTGGCAAAGGTTTCCATTTCGGAAAAGGCCGGCGGACTCCTCCTGGAGTCTTTGGGGTCGGCGTTTATGGCACCTACCTGGACCACCGGCGTGCGCTACGTGATGCCCGCTCCGGCCGAGGCTTCTCCTCGTCCTCCACGAGACCATCAGGGCAGCAGTCGGATGGACGCCCGAGGGTGTCGTTGGCGGAGCTCAAGAGCAAGACAAGATGCCATCAATGCAAGCAGCTGGGGCATTGGTCGAAAGAGTGCCCGCTTCGACGAAAGCCAGCCCCGACACCTCGTGCAGCCAGTCAGCCGAACACGGCCATGTTCTTTGTGAGCCCTGGGCCGGAGTGCCCGGTGGTTGATGACAGCGATTTGGTTCCGATGTGTGGACAATACATGGTCGCCAGCAGTTCGGGTGTTCGTGTTTTTGGGGATGGGTTGCATGAGATGGAAATGTACTTGAGCTACACGTTTGCTTCTTCGGTGGACTTGGAGGGACATGCTCTAGTTGACACCGCTGCGCAACATGGTCTGATTGGTGCTGAGACCCTAGAACAACATGATCGTCTGTTGCGAAGCAAGTTTGGCCTGTGTGTTCAGTACTCTCAGGAGACCGGAGGCTCAGTTCGAGGGGTTTGTGGTTCGGAGCAGGAGACCAAGCTAGCATACATCCCCATGGGCTTGTGTGGCATGTCGGGTGTCCTTAAGGTGCAAGTGGTTCCTGGTCATGTACCATGTCTATTACCAGTATACCTGCTGACTGCTCTGGGCTCGGTAATCGACCTCCAAGGCCTCAAAATGTACTACACGCGTAGTGGTGCTGTGCAGGAACTGCATCGAAGACCTACAGGGCATGTCTCAGCTGATATCATGGAGTTTGGTGCGAACTT